TATCGTTCAAAATATAAGACTAAACAACGCAATGTAACGCAAGTAGCGCTATATCGGCATCGGTTTAGAAACCGTTCTAAACGTGTTAAAAATAGTCAGTGTAATTGACACGGAGATCGATGCATTTCACAGTTTTAACTCGATGTGTGCGGTCCGCAGCATCGTAATTTGTACGAAGCTTCTTGCACGACCCGCTCTGTAACCCCGCACCCGACTAGTTACTGTAAATACATAAAAACAAACTACACTAATCCACGACGCCGCCGGAACAAAATGATTGCAGTTCACCCTTTTACCCCGTCAACCATAGATCCTTGTTTATCTTGTTTTTTATAGCTGTAACTCAATATGACGCAATCTTTAAATAAGTAAAATGTGACTTTACTAACCCAGTGTTTGTAGTGTTTTTATTTTCCTTATTGGTATGTCAAAAGTTAACTTTAAAGTATTGAAATTAATTAGTCTCTGCATTTTGTCTTTGTTATCAAACTAATTTAATTTAAAATATCGTTGTCACTGTTTTTTATAGACAATCAAAGAAATTTTACTATATTTTTATGAGTATTTCGGCAGTGGAATCCCACGGTAAGAATCAGAACGTAAGGAATACGTATGATTTTTAAAGTATGCCAGACATATAAAAGATTGGATAGTTCCTATGAAATAGAAACTTTTTACATGATACATAGCCAATGGGATTTACTTTTACTATTTTAGAACTAATACTACTAGGTACCACGTATAATCATGGTAAAGATATTTTGAAAATTGTATATGTGTTCACTTTTATTTTAACTTTACCTCACTTCAACAATTACATGTTTACTTCAATTATAATGTTTTGGTGCATTTTGTTAGGAATTAAATTATTTTGCTTGATCTAGGATGGTTCGGAGGCGCAATACCAGATTATCTTCGAAATTTTACACCGTCCGTGACCTGAAATAATGTCCCCTTCACGGTCTCTTTACAACAGGTACAGATATTTAATTAACTGATTTGAGATAAAAGCGAATTGAAAGTGAATATGTTGATTGTTTATTTGTAAACAACAATGCCGTGTTAGGTATACAGAGGTATGTTTGTTTGTGGTATTAGAGTACAAAATAGCGTCTTATCTTTAGTATATTTAACACGACTATTGTAGATTTTCTGATGTATTGCGTCCTCGTGAATCCTTAATGCCAAACTAACCAAATGAACCATCGCTTTGTATAGTTTCACTCTGGTAATAATATCGGAAATAAAAACTATCACTCGACCCGGCCCGGCATCGTAAAACAATTTATTAGGAGCACATAACATCAATATAAAATGAATTATCTTCTTTTTATTGCTGTAGTGACATTAAAATATTTTGACTGCCACGCGCACCACAAATATCCGGCATTCAGGATTCACATATATCGCTGGCGATCATTCCGAATAATAAAAAGTGTATTTTGTTAATCATTATCGTTACTTGCTGTGCGATTTATGCGAGTTCTCTTTGCGTTTATTGTTTATTTTTTGACAGTTCATTACCCTCTGGTATTTCCCACCTTACCTGAGCGCACCACTTAAAAAACTATAAATCTATAGTTAAACGATGGGAGCACTGCAAACGGGTAGGATACGATACGAGTGGCCCCGGCGCGCGTCACTCGTCGCCGCTCAACTTGGAGCAATTTATCCCATCGCCAAAGCCCTCGACTTGCTGCCACGATCTGGAAAGTGATGACATACACCAGAGCGCGCGCGAGCTCGCTGAGTGCGCACTTTAATTTTCGATCACCAAATTGTAAGTCATTTATCGAAAGAAATTATACATTCGCCGCTTTTAAATCTTCGATGTAGGCGGACGGCTTTGGCTATTCCCTTATTTACCATCAAAGATTTTTATTTAAATATAGCCGGGATCGTCGTTCATAAAATTATTATTCGGTTAAAATACCTACCACATGTTGGGATTCTGAGAAAATAGAAGCTCCCAGTAGGATTTTATTCCTAAAATCGTCGAATTGGGAGGTTTGTTTAAATTACGGCTATTAGGTAGTGGAGTGTTCCACGTGGCCGACAACGGATGAGCGGCAGGCAGAGTGAGGCGAGGCGAGCCGCTGTCGATGGGAACGCGGCCGTGCAATTATAGCTGGCCTGGCCACGGCTACATGTTTCACATGAAACATGTAGCTATATAATTTTACGCAGCAGTTACATGAATCAACGCGTTGTCAGCCAACGCGCTGTACACGGCCGACTTTATTTTATTCGATCCTTTGATTTCGAGCACAGTTATTTCATAAAACAACTTTGTATTGCACTTCTACAGTAGTATCACTTTTTCGTTCGTATTTTTGTTTGTACGTTTTCCTATACTTGTATAATAATTTTCCACCACAAGTAAATCCTGTGCTGGGAAATTTGCTTTTAACTCAAAGGTGTAGGTATGAACTATATATAAATGTAACTAAAATCGTTACGCGTCTTTTGAATGTAAAAACATGGCTTATGTTTTATTTCAACGTATTGCACGATTACCGTTTGTACAGAAATAATAAGAGTAAAATAAGGTACAGTTGAATCTCGAACTCGTTAAACAAAAATTCAGAGCTACACGTATCATGTGCTATTTCTGTTTATACTCAAAAATGTAAGAACATAACTAATAATTTATAACGCGTACAGTACATAGTATGATACGGTACGATAAATGAACATTTCTTTCATTTTCTTTAAGAAACATTACCTACTTATTTCTTAAATTGAATGATAATACGTACAGTTTATTTATAATCCTATGACAATCATAGAATATATTCGTGCAAATGTTATTATATGGCTTTTGTCAATGCGAAATAAATTATCTTTCAATGTTTTATATTTGTTGGGCAAAATCTTTATTAAGATATATCGTTTATTATATTCAGGTGCGGCGCCGATGTTTGCCGGAATGCGCGGCGTTCACCAACAGATGCTATCTGGCGGGACGCTGACAGCGACATCTATCAGCGGCCTCGGTAGCTTCGGGCATCATCTCACCACGTCGCTACCGACTTTGCCGCCGGACCGCAAGCCATCTACCCCTCTCTCGGGCCTAGGTCCGCCGCCCACGTCCTTACCAACCCCAGTACCACCTCCTTCAACATCAACCACTGTACATTCATACTATGATCACATGATATGATCGCGTTACAAACTGTGAAAATGAAATCAATTGATATTGCCATTAAAATACTCGATTAATTTCGTGCTTGTCAAGGATTTGACTATTTAGATATCTTTTTTATATTTAATGCAGCACCTTGGCGCTGGCGAGGGACTATAGAGAATGGGAGATGACTATGATCATAATTTGTATTTAAGTGTTACTAAAATTTAAGTAACACCATTATATACATTTATCAGTCTGATTTATAATCTTTTATGAAGATTGCTATAATGAATGATAATAGTGAGAATTGAAACAATTTAGGAATACTTATGAATAAGTTTGCTATATTATATTGACTTCGAGTATAGTACTTGTTACGTTTGAATGGTATTACATTATGGACATGAGCTAGAATTAAAGTAATTTCTATATTCTAAGGCTGAGGTATTCACACAATACTTTTAGCCTATAAGATAGTAACTACAAGAGTTTTCAGTGCATGAAATCACGATCTCAAGCAACTTACATTTCTTAAGTTTTCGTAAAAATATTTTAATGTTTTTTCACTTACAATGGCTGACAAACTGAATATATGCGTTTTTATTTATTTTTCTTATACAATTTCGATGCTACAGCATATTACAGATGAACGGTAGCGGTTTAAATTTTCTATTGAATGTATTTTTTAAAAGTGTTTATACACTTATCAATACTGTATATAATTATAGAATGATATTTAAGACCTTGTATGTGTATGAAAATATGTTAGGAATTATGCGAACGTACATTAGTGTAGCACACAATAGTTTAAGAACGAGTGGATATCGCCTTTACTATGTACTTACAATATAAAACTATTAGTGATTTGCTAGATTTTTGAAGATTAAAGTCAATTGTGAGTCATTTTTCTTAGTTAAGATAAAACATATCTATGTTTAAATACGATGGATATTATAATGTTAACATGACACGATTTAGATGTAATTAAATAATTTAAGTTTGTTTCTTTTTAAATAAATTAAAATCATGAAAGGTTTTTTTTTCGAAACATCCCTATTATAACTGAAATAAGAGAGACGTACAAAAATAATTTTCCGTGAATCTATAACTTTTAGAACGAATAAACTAAAATTTAAATGATATTGACTATTCAATCAATGTATTATTCATGCTGGTTTCTGGAATACTGACATGTAATAGATGAAGAATATAAAACTTTGAAATAGAGGTGAACATCCTTAATTCGCTTCCCATATTTATTAGATTAGCAACATGCGATATTTTGCCCATTAACGTCACACTGGCGTTTTTTGGTCCTGAACAACCAAGAAATTAGCGAGATGTAACTTAGAGAATTAGTGTGAAAGGTGACTAGATTTCGCTATTAAGATTGTTTTTGTAGCGCTTAATGATACTTAATATTGTAAATGAGAAGGTTACGATGGATGGATGGATGTTTGTTTGCGTTTGTAGCCTAAACGGACGGCTGTACCGATTTCGATGAAATTTGGTATGGATGTAGATGATAGTCTGGAAGAATACATGGGCTACTTGGTTTTGTTTTTTTTAAATTCCACGCAGATGGAGTCGCGGGCGAAAGCCAGTTTTTGAAATAAAATGAATAATAGGTGCTAGTTATTGAATACCAGTTTCCAAGTAAAAAAACAGAAACTAAAAGTAACATGGTATTGAACAACATTTATGCTATTTAAAAGATAGACAAATACATGACATTGGTTACATTTTGTTCAGTTTTAGATTTATTTAAATCTAGAAAAAACTTGACTTATCTGACTGTATGATTAACGTAGCTGTTGAATTCAGAATTTAAAAGCTAACTTTGTCATTGTCAAATATCAATCAATGTCAACTGTCATGTTTGTTATTGTTTGTATTTGTTTAATTTTCAATTAGTAAATTCACTTTTATCATTTCATCAATATGAATGAGAGATTTAAGCATATAATCAAAGGTTTTAAAGTAATTTCGTTGATCGGTGGATGTGCCGCTCTAATAACATATCACATTCGACAGACATGTAGATCTCTAGACAAAATTGTCAACCTAAGTGTTCTGGATGCGGAAAAAAAGTATACTCCAGAGTATATTTATATTGATGATACAAAATTTGATTTGAAAATGGTACAAGCAAGGGAGTCGAGGCAATCTGTGGGATTGGCTCGTATTTGGAAAAGTTTGAGAGATTCTTTAGCATCTAGACTTCTGTGGCTATGTCGTCACGGGAATCAAGAACAACGCGATCTAGCACTGCAACATCTAGCTTCATTTAGGAATAACAAAAAGTGGGAATGTTTAAAACTTGCTCAAACCCTTGATATGAACACTGCAGTGTTACTCGCTCGTACTAGCGGAGCTGATTTACGATACTTTTTACCACCGCCAATTCACGTAAGAAGAGCTGCATTAACATCTGAGCTCATGTCATTTAAATTACGAGACCTGATTGTCGGCGTTCAAAAGATAAGCCCACATAGCTGTATCAAATACTTTTTGTCTAAGTATTTTGCCAATCTTCAGGAGCAAGCTATGGAGGCAGACAATGTGCCTGCTAAACCAGATGTAATAAGTGAAAGAGAGCTGTGTATGTTGTGTCTTGATGCTTTATACCATCATGTTATATTGTTTCATTCTAATAATTATGTTGATGATAAATCATCTTCAACACTAGTGAACATGGAGCTGTTGCCTCGCTTGGCCGAATTGTTTTTAAGATATCGTAATGATGTTGATATGGATCTCTGTATATTAAAAATTCTTACTGTGATAAGTATGCACACAGTTTTGTTGAAAGACTTTTTTCAAAATGGACTAATAGGTGAACTGTGCAGATTAATAAAATCGGATGATGTACGCTTGTCCAGCTCTGCTGCAGTATGTCTCGCGAACCTATCCGGGGAACATTGTTTTAGACCTGGATTATATCTATTACATCCTTTATACAGAACAAGAACAAAGCAGTTGTGCGACACTCTGTTAATACATGGCCTAAGGGGTGGTGTGTTTGTTACTTGGCGCCAAAGGGATCCCAAATGTGAAGGACCATTAGTTATCACAGATGTTAAATCTAGAATTAAATGTGGAAAACCTTGCGTTGAAGATGATATTGGTGAAAGTTACATAGATCCTGAATTAAAACAGGTGTTAGAGGACTTATCAGAGATGGATGAAGAATCATTGTTATCCAACATGGAAGTTGTCTTGCAGGATATACCAATTGAGGCCAAAAGAGATCATTCATTAAATTCATTAACTGCAGCGAAAAAACGTATAGCTTTAATTAGGGAAAATGAGGATAATTGTACTTACACCCATTGCTGGCCCAAAGATTGGTTGCCAAAAGATTGTAATAATTTAAGAATTCTAGGAGTAAATTATTGGAGTTCACTTTCAGAATGGTTAGAAGGGTGTCCTTTACAAAGCGCAGATATAGCTACTAGAGCTGTTGAACTGACACCCGTTTTAATAGATGCACAAGTGGGTCAAAGAAATGTACCCATAATTTGGTTAGCTCATTCAATGGGTGGTCTTATAGTGAAACAACTTCTCATTGATGCTGCCAATAGTCAAGATAAATTGAAAAAGATTTGCGAACAAACAAAAGCAGTTTTATTTTACAGTACGCCACATAGAGGTAGTTCTCTAGCGAGCCTGCCCCGAGCAGCTGATGCAGTGCTTTGGCCGTCACATGATGTAAAGCAATTAAAAGAAAACTCACCAATTCTTCTAAACATACAAAATCAATTCCTGACAGTTGCAGATAAATATGATTTTGAAACCATCAGTTTTGCAGAGAGTATGCCAACTTTGGTGACAGCTTTTAAAGTTCCAATGCACTTTGTTGGGGCAAATTCTGCTGATTTAGGGCGAGGTGTATTTTATCAGCTACCTCTAGATCATTTAACTATATGCAAACCAGCATCGAGACAATCAATTTTATATACAACAGTTATTGATGTCATTCAAAGAATCACACATAAGAAATGTGATTTGCATTATCCCGATATCTTTCTTGATAAATTATATAATCTGTTTTCATTGAATATGTTTTTCAAAGCTACTGGGGTTATAGATTCCATAGATGAGAATCAGTACAGAGAAAGGTTCCGATGGTTTGAAAGAATTATTCTTGATACATATACAGGCAGCTGTTCCGATTAAATACATTTTTACACTTTGTAGCTTCATTGGTTTAAACTAAATTTTAAATTCAATTAAATATATAATTTATATGAAAATTAGTCATACTTAAATTTAAAACTGTGATAATGTTAAGTATTTATTTTTAGATTGTTTTTGTCTGTAATTATTGTAATTTATTAAATGATGTATTCACTATTCATTGTAGAAGTGATCACCTTCACAATGGTAGTTATTTTTGGTTACAGTTTGTATGCAGTCTTATTTAATCATAGAACTTCATGATGCCAAATATTTAGTAATGTGTGTATTATTAAACTTTGATGTGGTACTAGTTGTTTTATTCTATTAGACAAATTAATTTTAGTGAAATTACTACTACTGTTAATAAATAACAAATAGAAAATATTATTTAAATATATTCCTATAATGATATAAAAAAAAACAAAAGCGTTTAGCAGGGAAACCATAAAATTTATTTGCATAATTGGTTTCAAAGATCTATTTTGTACTATTCTAAAACATTTTCTTTATTAGTAATTACTTGCATTACAAGTACAAATTCGGTGGATTTGAAGTATTTACTTAAAATAATCATTTATTTATTAAGCACTTCAACAGCAAAAGAAATGTTTTATGTCACATGTACCCGCTCTATTTATCGGTGCAATATGCGTCGAGTGGATGTAATTCCGCGGTTCGACTGGAGACTGTTTGCAAGAGACCAAATTCTAGTCCTCTACCCAATAAGAAAGGAATAGGAAGGGAAGTGAATTAAGAGGGGGTGGTGACGTGCAGGAAAGAGACATCGTATAAGTCCCCTCCACTGTCTTTTAACTGTATGATAAGCAACGCATTGCAACTTTCTTGCAAATGACTATTATGGACAGTGGACATTTCGCCATTTCAGCGAAATCAGGTGATAGCATGCTCGTTCGTCACCTTGTACTCAAAAAAAAGGAAATGCTTTTTCCTAGAAAGATAAAGTTCAAACAACACGTCCTCGGCTAGATTTCACACTAGGTTATTGTACCAGGATATCAAAGCTTCGAGAAGATTGAGCAAAAGCGGGACATCTGTTGGGCATTCTGTTGCACTAATCAAAGCAAAGTACGTTTTCATAATAATTTATATGAATTGGTGGTAGATGGCGCTGTACAAAAGTAAACCAACCAGTATTTAATTCCTTTTGAAAATACGAATTGAACTAAGATCCCGTGGGTGCCAGACTAAAGGATAATTCTCATCCGGCTGGAATTTTTGTCATATGGAATACAGGTTAAATTTCTCAGTTTCTCTTTATAGTAATTTCTTTTTTGTGTCTTGTAATGTCCGACATGTTGGCAGATCAAGTTATTTAAGCTAAACCAGAATTTGATGAAAATGTTACCTTAAACTACACGTAAGCTATATGCACTCTATTTTCAATATTCTACAGGGAGTAATTTATTTATTTTATGTTTCTGAGATCTCACAGTTAAACTAATTGGATAAAGTTTTGTGAGACAATGTATTATTCTATTATTATCCTGTACCTCTACATAATTCTAACAAATAATCAACTATCTAGAGTTATTTGTAGATAAAATCACAACTTTACTAAAATGACGGAAGTCTGCTGACCACGGGGTCCTGGTCTATATGTAGCGTCCACGGGTCATACGTGCCAAATTCCATATAAAAAAACTGAATTCAAGATCTCTTGGCGTGTCATGTTATCCTAGTAGAATTTATAAAGGTCATCACGGCCTCGGCTAGGTTTTTACACGAGACTGTTTGTTGTACCAGGATTACATGCCTCACGAGGAGATTGGATATATTGAACATTTGAACTAGTAAGAGATGGCGCTGTAAAAATATTGCGTTTGAAATGCTCTTAGCTGTTGCCGAATTTAATGTACTATACAAATTAAAGATGGCGGTATAAACATATTTTATTCGAAATGTTCTTAATCGTTTCCAAAAATGTAGATAAATTTAGCGTAGATGAAAATAGATGGCGGTAATTAATGAAAATATTTTTTTTCTGCTCAAATATTTATTTATACAAATAACGGGATAAACGCAAAATGTTATTTAAAAAAAAATGAAAACAACAGCATACGAGTGGAGTGATTATTAATTATGATAGGTATATACTATGTGACTTGTACGCTTTTAATAATTTATTTTGTGAAATAAATAATTAGTCCGTTCTACCAAGTGACCATACCATGTTATCCAGATCATGTTGCAATTAAGGGCACGTTCCTACTATGTAGCGACGACAAAAAAACATCGTGTAGTTTAACTGTTGTGGCTATATATTATATATTTTAATTATTTACATGGAAACTAGCTTTCGCCCGCGACTCCGTCAGCGTGGAATTTAAAAAACGAAAGTGATTAGCTTATGTGATCTTCCAGATTATCCTCCACATATATGCCAAATTTCATCAAAATCCGTTCAGCCGTTAAGGCTACAAGCTCTAACAAACATCTATCCATCTAAACTTTCGCATTTATAATATTAGTAAGATGGAAATGTACACACATAGGACGAAATGACTGTCATCTGCGACGTTGCCGATAGATTGTCATGGATAGCGACGACCAGCATGACGGCCGTATAACGATATATTATCGTCTACACGAAATTACCACTGACCAAATTTCGGGATCAAGTGAGAACAAAAATCTACGATAGTCGCTAAACGTTAAAAAAATGTAACGACAAACAGTCGTTATTAATAGGAACAGCTAGATAGGATAGTGGTCAGTCGATAAATTAACCGTTACGACATATTGGGGACGCGCCTTAAGTTGCTTTGCGCTTATTCATGTGACGCTTAATATCCTTTCATGGCAACTGAGTGTTTTCCCTGAAAACAAAGGACGGGGTCTGGTTAAGAGACGGTCGGGGGATCAATACTGTTTCACGCGGAGTGGTTGCCATAGCGATAACGTCTTGGCCGAACTCGAGAACCACATAATACGAGTTGTTTAAAAAGTTAAGATCTCGATATAAATCATTTCTTTTTATAATAATATTGTACAAACAAGAAAGATTTTGTTAACCGATTTTATAGAAAGATTTATGTTTGTCACTAAATATTTAATAATAAAAGCAAATAATTTTAAAAACTGATAAGTAAGAGATATAGATTTTTTGTTCATATCACATTTAGATGATTTATTTTATATATTAAAACGGTAAATTCACTGCCCTCCGTCTCAATATGTCATTAAAAGATTTCCTTAAACCCCCGTTTCCCATGAGATTTTTATGTACTTAATAAATGACTTCTTGTTACAAGAGTCATTGAATTTAGTTAATTTTTGGGGCTACCATCTAATCTGATAGGACATAGATATTGTCACCCGCCGCATTTACATCGACTAAGTACATCACTGCACATTGCTTATTATTGTTTGTACTCAATTTGTCCTTGGCATAATACTTAATAGGTACTGCAATTTACAGTGCTATTAATCAAATTTCTCTTCTATCTGCTAATATGAATATAACAAAGGTCTGTTTCTCAAATGTAATATTTATATTCCTACGAAGTTTAACCTTTATACTATCGTCAATAGCGTGGCTACAATGTTACCCGTAACAAGTCCTTGAACTGAATGCGGCATTTCATTAAATTGAATAATACCGCATTCTCACTCTCTCGCCTACACTCATGTACGACTTAACTTAGCAAGTATGCAAAGTTACCAATTTTCCTAACTCACATGAAGTTAAATTTACATTTATTAATTTTTTCTCGTTCGTCTTTAAATGAAAATCAGATTTAACAAAGAAAATATTACAACTACAGTAATCATTTAAAAATTAAACTCGCCTGACGGTACCTATTTCTATAAGAATAATAGGGTCTTATTATATTATTTTAAACAATTAGTACCTGCTGCCTTTAGCTTCAAGTTTTCTCACTCACGACAAGTATTACCCTTCCGTCAATAGAACAAATATGTAGCACATTATTGATATGCTATATAAAACTATTACATAACTTCTATATAAACAAATGTACTATTGATTAGTAAGGAAGTAACAAGTTCCGTCAAAGAGCTGCGTTTGAGATGGTGGCATGTTCGCTCATAGTACGTAAGTACCCTGTAACCCTGTGTTTAATTATGTACTACGAAGAAACATGTGCGCTCAGTACTCGAACGGGTGACGTAATGGAATGATGTCAGAGGCCAAGCCCGCGAGTTCGCGCATTCTAGCTCGACGATATCGAACCAGCGAGCCAAGCAGGCTAAAATTGTATTGACACACACTGGCAACATGTTTGACCAACTTTGATTCAGCGTGTACTCGTATATGTAGAGCTTCTTCAACCTCAACCTCTACTTCCATATAAATACTATAATTAATATTGTCCAGGACTCATTAGGCCGTAAAATCCAACAGCCTTTGTGGAATTACATGGCACTAAGAGAGTATTATCTGTGGTGTTAACAAACATACTAACATAAATTCATCCAAACTTTCGAATTTATAATTATCGCAAGACAGTTCTGATTCTACTATGGCTTGCACTGCACATGAATATAGCACTGATTTGAGCTAATCTGATTTTTGCTAACGAACACCATCTACTCTTCCTACAAGCTAGATAGCGAATGATAGAAAAGAATTATTAAGTAACCAAGCATTCACAGTTATTTCGGCTTAACATAGTACTTGTACACACTGGCGTCGCCAGCCGTTGAAAAAAGGAGGATATGTTCAATCTGGCAGTTGTCCCTTCTTGCCCTTTCCTAGCGACGACCGTTCTTTGCCTTGTGCAAAAATTGTATTTGGGAAACAAATGAGTTACGTTTTGTATTATGAACAATTTATGTTATGTATTTTTAGTGACAGTGTGTAGCAATGCATCAGACTTTGATCAAAACCCTTACATAGGTAGCTTTGTAGTAACAACTAGCAGCCAGTAAGTACTAACATAACAAACCTACAGTAGAATCCGTTTATTATGACTACTCTTATGTTGACTAACTACATATTATGAAGTTATTACACAGTGATGCTTGGTTTATAAAAATCTTTACAACAAAGTCGGATATAATGACTCGTTTATAGAGAATTGTCCTT